CAAAGGCTGATGGTAAACAAGACTCAAGACAAAGTAATCTCCAAGGTGAAGGAATTCCAACAGAGCTGAACAGCGAGATTTGCAGTTTTTTACACGAACTTAAGAAAAAAGAAGATGGAGACTGTAGTGACAGGTTGTTCAGGCGACTTAAGGAGTTAGTATTCAAGATCCCAGACGTGGACAGGTTGATCTCTAGAGTGATGAGAACAATTGAGTTGCATTTTTATCAAACAATGGCGAATAAAGCGAATACTTTCAGATTTTGTCAATGGAATTGCTGCAGCATTAAGAGAAAGTTACCTGAATTACAATATAGAGCTTCCAATTTTGATGTGATGTTACTCTCGGAGACCTGGTTAACGGATGATGACTCAATCTCGGTCAGGGATTGATGTGGTGCGTAGAGACAGGGTAGGGCGCCCTGGGGGTGGAGTTGCTATTCTGGTGAGAAATAATATTAAATATAAGAGAAAACATGGTTTGTATAATTGTAACAATAACATTGAGCTGTGTGCTATAGAATTATTTACGTGTGAAGGGCCTTTTCTAGTAGTCTCATGTTACAGGGCCTCCGGATCGAATATGACGAAGGACCAGTGGGTGCGCTTTTTGAACCAATTCAGTGGAAACTTCCTGGTCACAGGGGATTTCAATGCTCATCACCAGGTATGGGGAAGTGATGCGAACTCTATAGAAGGTACAAAATTATTTGAAGCTATCGAGGAGTCGGAGGTTGGGTTGCTGAATGGGGCAGTCAAGACCTTTTATTCGCGTCAATATCGAACAGAATCCGCTCTAGATCTATCGTTCGCAAGTTGTGGGTTGTTGTCGCTGTTTGAGTGGAAGGTTAGTAGGGATACGTGGGGCAGTGACCACTTCCCAATATTTATTGACTTTGACAAGGTAGTTGAGAAAAAGGAAGCAATCATGCTCCAAAAAGGCTTTACAATAGTAAAACTGATTGGGGGCGGTTGGTCAGGGAACTCGAATTTCGGAGTAATGAAATTAGGTCAGTTGTCCAAAACGAGGATCTCGAGATTCAGGTCAAATATACGACGTTTACAGCAATTATAGAGGACTGTGTGAATGTGGCTACACCGGGAAGGGGTGGTAGTAGGAATCTAAATACAGGGAGCAGAGTTCATAAGGAGAAAGAGCGTAGAAAAGCTGCAATTTTCTGGAATAGCGAATGTGATAAGTTGGTAAGATTACGAGTTGCTGCCTTTCTTCGTTTAAAAGAATATCCTTCGGAGGAAAATTCTTAAAATATAAACAGGCAGAGGCTAGGGCTAAGTCGGGGATCAGAAAGATAAAAAAGGACTACTTCCGGTCCTTCTTAAATAGTATCAATAAGTTTACAAGTCCGTCGTACATATGGAAGAAGCTGAAAGCTTTGAAAAAAGGTTGGAATTCGTCGCATTGCTCGAACGAGTTTAGTGAAGAGGTAGTGGAGAGGGTGAAGGTTGGGATAGACTCTCTATGCCCATCCTGGGTAGCAAGAGGGGATCCGATGTTAGAAAATGTGGAAGGGGATGTATTTCTGGATTTGCCTATCACGGTGGAAGAATTAGAGGTCGCAATTGAGAATTCGAGGACTAAATCTAGCCCGGGGTTTGGACGGGATCGATTATTTGTTGATTCAATCGTTTCCTAAAGAAGTCAGAGGGGCCCTCTTGGAGTTATACAACTCAATTTTTGCTTCGGGAATCTTCCCAAACGAATGGCGCCAGTATTCAATTTTCTTCATTCCTAAGAGTCAAGGGAACGCTGTTCGGCCAATATCGTTGGCACCTTGCTTGTTAAAAATCTTGGAAAAAATTCTGAATCTTAGAATATCATGGTGGTTGGAATTTCATAATAAGTTCCCTGAAACGCAGTTTGGATTTCGAAGAAGTAAATCATGTTTGGATAATTTAGCTATACTGAACGCGGAGATTTTGAGAGCTTTTGACAAGAAGCAGTGTGTTGGTGCTCTTTTTTTGGACATTCGAAGCGCATATGATAATGTGCTCGGAGATGTGTTACTTAGTAGACTAATTAGTGTAGGATGGCCTAAATTAATTTTGAAATTTGTGCATAACTTAGTGTCGGAGAGGGTAATATCAGTCAAATACGACACAATAGACTGTCATAGAAAAGTCTTCAGAGGGTTACCTCAGGGGTAGCGTACTGAGCCCAGTTTTGTACTCAGTTTACATGATGTCTTTAGAGTCTTGGATTGTGGAGGATTGCAAAATTCTTCAATTTGCAGATGATGTATGTATTTATGCAGTTGATAAAGATCCAAAAAAAGTGTTAAAAGCTGTATCGGAGTCGGTACATAAGATTATTCCTTTTTTAAATGACAGTGGACTTGAGTTGGCTCCAGAAAAGTGCCAGTTGATTGTTTTTAGCTCCGATCCTAAAATCGCGACTAAGTCTTGGTGTATAAAAATAAATAGAGAAAGAATTTGGTCTCAGCAAGTAATTAAATTTCTGGGCATTCTGTTTCACAGCTCGCTAAAATGGGATCACCAAGTCCAAGCTATTAGGTCAAAGTGCATTAATCCTATGGCAATTATAAACTATTTAAGGTTGACATGGACTGGGGCTGATCCTCCAACGTTGATTAAGGTGTATAAAAGCCTAGTTAGGTCCAGAATTGAATATGGTGCATTTCTGTTTGTGTGTCGCTCAAGAAATCCCTTCTGAAAGTATTAGATAGAATCCAAAACAAAGCGTTGAGGTTAGCAATGGGGTATAGAAACTCAACTCCGCTGAATGTGATAGCTGCTGAGTCTAAAGAACCACCTTTGGAGTTTAGATTTAGGTATATGACTCATAATTTTCTAACTCGTTGTTTCTCAAACTCAAACCATAAAGTTATTGCTATCCTCAGTGAAATATCCGAACTCAGAGAGTGTCCTACCATGGTCTTTAGTACTGAAACTCCAGGGTTAGTACGTTGTTTTCAGGAAATAGAACCAATAAGTCATCTGATCTCTAGTGATTCACGCCCTAACTGCTTTAAGTTTCCATTTCAATCGATGTTCGTTCCAGCCAAGGTACATGGGAAGAAGGAAAAGAAATTCAGGAAATTCATAAGTCCAAGCCTCTAAGTGTTGAAAGATCTTTTTGGAATTTATTCCGTGAAGAGTTTCGTGATGCCGTAGTAATTTTTACAGATGGTTCAAAGACGATAGGTAAAGAATTTGTAGGGTTCGCCTACTTAGAAGTCGCCACAAGCAGTGTGAGCCTGAACAGAACGGTTAAGTACGCTTCAATTTTCTCTGCTGAGGCCATGGCGATAATTGCAGCCTTGAAAAAATTTGCTAACACGGATTTAAATAAACTGGTTATATTTTCGGATTCTTTAAGTGTCCTGAAGGCGTTGGCCTCCATTAGATCCGCGGGTAAATTGAACGTGCTGATCGTGTGAAATTAAACATTTAGTGTACAGTCTACAGGTAACTGGTAGGGTAGTAAAGTTTTTCTGGATTCCTGCACATGTAGGGATTTCTTATAATGAAAAAGTGGACTCAGCTGCGAAAGATAGCGTTATGAAGGGTCGCGACTCCCAGATTCTGCTCCCAAGCTCCGACTTCAAAGCCTTTTGGAAGGGAAAAATGCATAATGACTTTGTTAACTGGTGTAAATGTGAAGGGTTAAATAAAGGAAGATTCTACCACGAGAATTACTATTCAGAGAGCGCACTCCCATGGTTCGGTAAGTTCAATTTAGCTAGGAAACCTCTGGTCTCCATTAATAGACTTAGATGCAATCTCTCTAGTCTTAAAGAAAGTCTTGCTAGATTTAATATCATTCGATCTGCTATTTGTGAATGTGGCGAAGCCGAGGAAACAGCAAACCATGTTTTCTTTCAGTGTAGTAAGTACGAGGATATACGAGCATTGTTTTGCAAAGATTTAAGGAAACAAAAATCCTTTCCTCCGTACTGCATTGAATCTATGTTACATAGTATGGACCGAGGAGTCATCTTTGCGGTGGCCAGGTTTCTGAACAGTATTGAGTTAAGTATTTAAAGATAAAGAGGTCTATTTTTTAAGGTAATCTGTAGAAACAGGAAGCAAAAGTGTCTATACAGTTATAGGTGTTACATTGAATAAGTTAAAAAGGAAAAAAAAGAAAAATGTATATTTGTTTGTCGTTTATTTTTATTTTCAGTTTTTGTTTTGTTTCTGGTTCAATCATATATAAAAAATGTTATATAATATTGGAAAAATTGTTATAGAAGGTGTTAAAGAAAAATTAAATCTAATTAAAGCTAAAACTTAATGTTAAGACCAAGTTAAGGATATTGCTGTACTGTGATAAAATGGTTAAAATAAGTACAAAGCTTTTGTAAATCGCGCCAGGAAATTTAGTATAGACCATACACTGTATAGTTCTAAGTAGCAATAGTCTGTTTTTAGGATGTAAGTATTCTTTGTAACATGGTTGGTTATCTGGGCTGAGCTTGGACTCGTGATTGCCCCTACCTTTGTATCTCTTCCTTTTTTTCCAATAAAATCGTCTTTGATGTTTCTGCTTTACTTACATTTTTTATATTTAACTCTTTCATTACATTAATTATACCGATAATAATATTTATATTTACAAATTTATAAAATAATAAAGCTATTGAAAAAATTATTAGATCTTCATTTAACAATCAATCACATTTTTTAACATGATTATTTTTATATATATATATATTTGAGAATAAATTTTATTATACTTTTAATTATTATTCTACTAATATTAATAACGATTAACAGATGTGTCTGATGTTTCTCTAAATTTAAATTGTGTACGAAAATTGTCAATGATAAAACAGAAATGATTGTTACCTTTGGAATAATATTTTCGATTTACCGACTTTCTACAGTAGATAATTTACCGATAAATAAATTTCGATGATAATACAGATACTATTGATATCATCATCAATTGAAATTGAAATAAAAAAAATGATTCTTGTTTACAAGAAATATAAATTATTGCCAATAATAATATTTTGAGACATAAACCGTTTAGAAGCAGCTAACGAAAATTCGTTATTACCACTGTGGATGCCAAAATAGACGCCATAAGTACTTGTAGTATTAATCAAGTGATCATTACAGTTTTGCAAAAAGTATTAAACAGTTCTATTTAATAATATATAATTATTACGAATAGTTGCGATTAAAAATGGCATTGTGTAGCATTTGTTTATCGTCAATAACATCTGGTCAAATAGATGCTACCGAGTGTGGACATGTTTTTCACCACCAATGTCTTCATACCTGGTATGAGTAAGTATTATGAATGTTCTGGAATGTATTATATTTTTTGCAGACATATTATTTAATTTATTGTTTTACAGCAAAAACCAGAACCATACTACTTGTCCTAGTTGTCGGCACAAAATTTATTGGTCTTCTATAAAGCGTCTTCATCTAGATTTTGGCGAGGACATGACACCAAATAATTCGATAGTAGAAGATCTGCATCAAAATGTAATCAGCATGAGCGCCAGGTTGAAAGACATAGAGCAAAAATTAGCATCTACTGAAAAGAATTATAATACGTCGTTGAAAACAATGAAAATATATCAAGAGCATGTAACTAAATTGAATCAAGAGAACGCCGAATTGAAAGCTACCACTAAATTGTTAAAAGAACAACTAACCCAGCAAAGTGCAATCAGCATGAGCGCCAAGCTAAGAGAAGTCGAGCAAAAATTAACATCTACCGAAAAAAAGGTTCATACATTGTTGAAAACAAAGGAAGTATATCAAGAGCGTGCAGCCAAATCGAAACAAGAGATCATTGAATTGAAAGCTACCATTAAAAATTTGAATAAACAACTAACTCAGGAAATTAAACATCGAAAATTTTATGAAAATGAATGTCTTGCATTAACAGCGCAAGTAAATGAATTAGAAAATGATTGGTAGAGTTTATTGAATTTAATTTTTTAAAATGGTACAAAAATATTTTTAATATATTAAACAAAATAATTAGACTCATTTTTTACTTTTATCAGTAATTTTATTTTTATAAACTGAATTATGTAATTTTTTAAATGTATTTTATTCTATTATAATTGGCTGGAACCAATGCTTATTTAACTACAAGTAAAAATAAAATAAATTAAATTAATTTTCTGGTGTTTAGTTTATTTTTAACAGTAAAGAATTATAAATAATATATATACATTTGAATTAAAGTAAATAAATAAAATTTTCCATAAAATAAAGAATTCCAAAATACAACGGTTCATCGAGATATAGTAGGTGGCGCTACCGTCAGAGTGCGCAGTAGTCTTTACTGGAACGAAGCTGTCAGAGTGAGAGTCGGTGAATTTTGTTTTTCACCTGAATATAATTGCACGTTTTCTTGTTAATAAAGACTGAAAGTGCATTGCAATGAAGATGAATATAACATCAGCAGGTGATTGATTATTAATTCACTATAAATAATCCTTTCAATCATCATTAATTTATGTATTGTCAGTTTTGGAGCATGAGTTGCAATTCGTGCGGTCCATAACCTCAATCTACAATCCATTTCTGACAATAATAACTCATGTTCATGTTTTATTGAGCATCAACAAGTAAAAAATTATCAAGCATAATAAACCACTATTAAAATTCAATTGTTTTATTTCATTTTAGCTGGGATTATTTCCCTATTGGAAGAACCAATGCCTGAGCTGAAAGTCTTTGCTTTGCAAAAGCTAGACATGATTGTGGATGAATTTTGGCCAGAAATTTCTGAAGCTATTGAAAAAATGTAATTATTTATTTATATTTATAAAATTACAATTTTTTTTTAACTTTAGATATTGAAAATAATTTTCTTTAAAATAATTAAATGATTATGATATATTCATTTACTTGAACAGAGAAATTCTCCATGAAGACAAAAGCTTCAGTCAACATGAATTAGCAGCCTTAGTAGCAAGCAAAGTTTACTATCATCTTGGTAGTTTTGAAGATTCCTTAACTTATGCTTTAGAAGCTGGTGAATTATTTGATGTTAATGCTCGTAATGAATATGTTGATACAATAATTGCTAAATGTATTGATCATTACACCCAATTACGAGTACTAGAAGCTGAAGGAGATTTACCATCTGACAATATTGATCCTTGTCTTGAAGGTATTGTTAATAGAATGTTCCAGCGATGCTTGGATGATTCTCAGTATCGTCAAGCTCTAGGTAAGAACCTGATAATGATACTATTAAATTAATCATGCAGAAAATTCAGATAATCATATATTATTATAGATTAATATTGTTATTTCAAGTATTTCAATATTTACTTGTAAATGAAAGATTAACAATAAACTAATAAATTGTTTTGACAGGTCTTGCATTGGAAACTCGTCGAATGGACATTTTCGAAGCAGCAATAATGCAATCCGATGACGTAGCTGGAATGCTATTATATGCTTTTCAAGTTGCAATGAGCTTAATCCAAAATCGTGGTTTCCGGAATACTGTTCTTCGTTGTTTAGTTCGACTATATCGTGATCTGGGAACTCCAGACTACGTGAATATGTGTCAATGTTTAATTTTCCTTGATGATCCACTTGCAGTTGCTGAATTGCTCGATAGATTGAGCAAAGGATCACAAGATAATGTACTAATGGCATACCAAATTGCTTTTGATTTATACGAATCAGCAACGCAGCAGTTTTTGGGTCGTGTTCTCCAAGCTTTGCGTGCTACAGCTCCAATTCCAAGTGCTTTGATCGTAAAACCAATCGTGAAACCAACAAAAGCTAGTACTTCTGAACCTAGTGAATCAACGTCTTCTACTGAAACAGATAATTTGATAACTGAAGAAAAATCAGAAAGGAGTGTAGAAAGTTTAACAAAAGAAGAAAGAGAGCAGCAAGAAAGAGTTGATGCTTTATCGAGCATCCTTGGAGGAGAAGTTTCAATTGACCTTCATCTTCAATTTCTCATTAGGAGCAACCACACGGACATGTTGATTCTCAAAAACACCAAAGACGCTATTAGAGTGTCCATTTGTCACACTGCCACGGTTATAGCAAACGCTTTTATGCATTCTGGAACCACCAGCGATCAGTTTCTGAGAGACAACTTAGAGTGGTTAGCCAGAGCTACTAACTGGGCAAAATTAACAGCAACCGCGTCATTAGGAGTAATTCATCGAGGACATGAACAAGAAGCTTTAGCTTTGATGCAGTCTTACTTACCAAGAGATACTGGTGCTGGTGCTGGATATTCAGAAGGTGGTGGGCTATATGCTTTAGGTCTCATTCATGCTAATCATGGTGCAACGATTACCGATTATTTACTTGGGCAGCTGAAAGATGCACAAAATGAGGTGGGTAATTGATAAAATTATTATTAAGGAAAATTGAAGTACATTTCATTTATTTGCATCTAAAATTTTAATTGCAAGTTTTAAAAAGCTAAAAAAAACTTCCAAAGGATAATTAAATTATTGAATTCCACTATTCTTCGATGAACGAAATTAATTTTCTTGAATTTATTTCTAAAGATGGTCCGACATGGAGGGTGTCTTGGATTGGGTTTAGCAGCAATGGGATCACACAGACAAGACGTATACGAACAATTGAAATTCAATTTGTACCAAGATGACGCAGTGACAGGTGAAGCAGCTGGTATATCTATGGGGATGGTAATGCTTGGTTCCAAATCAACTCAAGCTATTGAAGACATGGTCACGGTAAATTCAATAACTTTTTTAATATTTTATATTTCAAAAACCATTCTTTTAGTTTAAAAAAAAAACACAGTGATATTACTTTAATTCTTGAAGATGAACTCTTAGACCTCCATATTACGTCCAAGCCATTAAGTTTTATTAAAAATTTTTATAAAAAAAATTTCATCAGATTTTTCAATAACTATAAGATGAAAATATAAAAGAATATAAGAAATACTATCTAGAAAGGAGTCAAATTATCAAATACGTGAATGTTCGTGTCGTATTGATAAATTGGAACTTTTTGCATCTGGCAGAGGTTTGATTGAACTCTTTAATACTTGGTTCGTATTCATTTGCCTTTGGTGCTAAAGGAGTGGTCGAAAGAAAAAAATGAAAAAAGAAGAAATAATAAGCGAACAAAAAAAATAAAAGAATTAATCCACGAATATTTACGCATAATCCATTTGAAAGTAGCGAGTATCTTAATCTCTTTATTCTATTTTCATCTCTTTCAATTCTCTTGCCTCTCTTTTAAGCAAGTTTCTCCATTCAACGATAAAATTCAATCAGTCTCTGATATAAAAAATTCTTTAATCGTAGTAATGCAGCAGGTTGCTCGATTCATTGAAAAGTAAAGCCCACCAAAGAAACGTAGTAGAAGTTACCGTTGCATTGCGACTATTTTTCTTGACAATAAAACGAGAGGAAAATCAAATGTGCGTAAAAAGTCGTGAGGAGAAAGAAAAATGGAATAAAACTAATAATGATCATAATAATAAAATTCAATTTTTTATGACCATTTCATAAGTACCTTATTACAGTTCTTTGTTACATGGGATTTAAATGTATGTGCTTTATTGCTAGTCTCTAAAGCACTTATAAACCATTATATTAATTTTTATATATCTTTTATCAAATAAAAATAATATTAAACGTATTACATGTAATAAAATTTATTTTTTATAGCTAATAATACAATTATTAAATATATTTTATTTTATTTAAAAGATATTTAATTAAATGTGATTTTTTATAAATTTCTTTATTTATATTTCAGTATGCTCAACAAACTCAGCATGAAAAGATACTACGGGGATTGGCCGTTGGAATTGCGTTTACAATGTACGGACGTCTGGAAGAAGCTGATCCTCTCGTCGATTCTCTATGTGCTGACAAGGATCCAATCTTGAGAAGAAGTGGAATGTACACTATTGCTATGGCTTACTGCGGAACTGGCAATAATCAAGCGATTCGCAAGCTTCTTCATGTTGCTGTGAGTTCAATATTTACTCTTAGATTCTCGACACTTTTCTTCTATTTACTATAATCTAGAGTAAAAAATCTAAATGAAACAATCCAAAAAGTAATATTTTAAATAAATATAGGAAATTCAATGATTTCATTTACATTAAATGGACTTTGAGCTGGAAGTGTTTATAACTTTTATTATAAATATAATAACAAATGTTAGACAATTACTAATATTTCAATTTTTCAGGTGTCTGATGTAAATGATGACGTTCGTCGTGCTGCAGTTACAGGACTAGGTTTTCTGCTGTTCCGGTGAGTGAAAAAAAATATTTCATTTTTTTTGCAAAAATTTTATCATCGTTTTCTGATTTTAATTAAAATACTGACTGTTTCGTGGGCGTATTGACGTCGGTTTCGAAAGTTAGTTATTTGCTTAAATTCACTTGGAAACATTCTTGTTTATCGGGTGGATATCTTCAAAGTCCTTTGAGATATTTAATTGAAAAACTTTGTTACTCAGACTCGATGCATCCGTAATGAAACGTAAGATTCGTGGAAGATTAAAGATCGTTTGAATTTTCATAACGATTGTTCAACTTTCCACATTAAAAATGATCAAACGACGATCTTTAGTTTTTGTTTCTTTTCATAGAAACATCAATAATCTATCTATATTTAATGATACTTATAAATAATTCTTAATTTAATTATCCGTAAAATTGATCCTGATTAATTTAAATAGCAATTCTATATAAAGTTTGGTAATTGTGTTTTTATTATGCTTATTAATTATGCAGTAATAATGTGTCAAAGTTTCCATGCATAATCCAAAAATTAATAGTTTAGCTGTTATTAATGAGAAGTTAAATAATTATTTCCACTAGAATATGTATTATGGCTATTATTCTTATCAAGTTTTATAAATAATTAGTAAATTTGGCATCATTATTATTTCTACAAAGTATTTATTGAAAAAGCTTTTTAATTATTAACAACAATTTAATCATAATTTAAAACAATTTTAAAAATATCCTGTATACTTTTTTATAATAATATAAAAAATATTTTCAATCAAAAACAGGATATTAAAGAAATTTAAACAAAATTTAATTTAAAAAAAAAGACATGATAAAGGTGGTAATTACATTTGCAATGAAAAATGATGGAAATTCTCTATTGGGTTAAATTTTGAACATGATAAATAACTACGTTGTTTTTTAGATAATATTAAAAAATGTATTATCTCTCTTCTGGGAATATAAGTCATCTATTTATTTGCTCTACACCGTAGTTGAATTTTTAAACGAATCTCTCGAATCCAGAGACTCTGGGAATTTTACCGCAGTAATCTCCATCGTCTAACAAGTCGGTATGGCCTTGATTCTAATGAGATAAGGATTTATAAGATTTATCTAGCCGAGTTTTAATCAATGCTTTAATTGAGGGATGAATGTAAACTAGGGATCTATTTAAATCGTCAGCGAACGCCAACGGCCAAATGTAATCTACCTTTCGTGACTAGACTTCCTCAATTTCGTGACTTAAACCATCTATAGAAAATTACCTGCATTTCGGACAAATTATGTGTAGAATTCAATTCGTGTAATTATCCATATACTTGGCTTCATTTATTGTTACTTTGCAGTTTTTATGCTGCAGAATTACTTCGATAAAGCTCTTCTTGAAGCTTTAATGTGATGATTAAGACCAAGAGACTTCTTGGATCCATCATTTCAGATGATTTAAGAATGAAGTATTTTCTTATTAATTATTGCAGTAATATGCAAATAATTTTATTTAATTAATTATTCCTAGGAATTATCCTATTATTTCTGAAGCTTTTTTTATAACATTAATGTTTACTTAGTCATAATAAAACAAAAATACATTTCTGTTTGCTTGTTTATGATGATTCTTACTCCATTTTTTTTTCTCTATTCTCTTTGTTGATGAATAAAGTTAGATTTGTTGATTATTATGAATTTCCTTGAATGATAAGATTGTTTGTTTTTAACCCCTCACTTCTTATAATTAGTTATATCAACTTTATTGTTTGCTTAACTAATTCAGAACTCAATTCCCAACAAACTGTATTTAGTTTGAGGTGAATACTATATAGATTCAATAAAAAGTCTAGACAATTGGTGTATATTGATTATTATTTTTTTTTCTTGATATTGTCTCTCAACTCATCTGTTTTTTCTTTGTTTTCAGATTAATTTTTTTGCTTTGATTATTCAACACGTGTTACAAAAATGCTTTCATCATTTTCTTATCTTATTTATTTGATATGTATCTAATAATACACATCAATGTTTCTGATCATTTTGATGAATTATGGAGGCTTATTTTAAATACTTTTATTTATTAATAATCTATTCATTTTATTGAAATGTGTTGCTTCTATTGGAATAAAAAAAGAATTATTTTCCTTTGGAAATATTTGTTGCATACATAGCATTCATATATATTCATATTAAATAGATTTTTTGAAAAGCTCAAGCAAACGGAAAATTCGCATTTAATAACGTACTACTCGCCTCTTTTTCTGCCTTGTGATTAAATGAAAAATTTCACAAGAAACAGCATGAATGTAAATTCATTGCTTTCCTCTCTTACTCCTTCCAACATCGTCAGTTTCTTTTTCATATAAAATATCTAGATATGGAGAACGTTTGAGTGGCCACCCACGAATCTAAAAAGAAAATTGAATTCATATGAGGGTCTTTTATTGGTTTGAAGAAGGAAAAAAAAACGAAAAGTTTAGATCAACAATAATTTATAGGACCATTTTTTTTTTAGGATTCTAACATTCTTTTCCTTTTATTTTTTTAAATCCTCTTTAAAACTTTTTTATATTTCTCATTAATCAAAAAAAAATTTTCTCAACATTTTTCTTAATCTTTTGATACTTATGTTTATCCTAGAAGACTAGAATGTGGATTTGTACATGATATAAAAGCTTTTATGATCAAATGTTTATCGTTAATATTTTGTTTATGGCTGAATCAGTTGCATAAATTGGAATTTGCATTTTTGATAAACATAATTAAAATAGTTAATGAATCAACAAAAATTTGCAAGTTAAGGAAATAAAGTTAATCCAATTTTATTAAAAAGTGTTTTGAAAAGAGAATGCATCATTCAGCATGTATTTATAAATTTCAATGATTGATGTTTCCATTCAATTTATGTCTAAATATTAGATTGATGATGAATATATGTCTGTTGGCATTAATTAGAAAGAATAAAAATAGCATGTTTTAATAACATAAATTTTTATCGTTGAATTTATAATTCTCTACAAAAATGTAATATAATATAATAACAATTTTAATGAATAAAGTTCGGAAAATCTATTGAAAAGTGTAACTGTTAAAATAGAAAGGAATTTTATACTGTAATTGAATTTTATTAAATTTTCTTTGTCACTAGAAATGTGAAAAAATACACTTTAAATTTTTTCATCAACTTGTATTTTACGTTGCTTTTTTTTCCGTTATTTAATTTATTTGAAGGCATTCGATATATCTGAATATTTTTTCCTTTCAATGTCACAATAGAAAATTTTTCTCGTCCAGATTTTTGTTACATATGGAATAGACAGCTGGTGTGTATATTCTAGGTGTGACAATTCATGTGTAAGAATAGCTCAAAAATTTTGTTGTAGTTGAAAATTCTTTTGAAATTCAAGACTAAATGTTATGGAAATATAAACTAGGAATAAAGAATAAAGAGAAATGTCAACAAAAACTTTTCATTGAAGAACAAAAAAAAAAGATTATCAAAGAAAATAGAAAAAAGGTAGGAGTAAAGAAAAAATGATATTTGTTTTAAACTTGGTCGGGTCAGCAATTGTAAAGGCAATCGATACTGCTTGAATAATGAACTTAGAGACAATGTTCACGCAAAATCGAAGCTAGCAAATCTATTTACTGACCACTATATAGATCAAATGGCTCAGTTATCAATAATTTATAACTTAATTAGAAACAGTTTAATTTCTTGTTTAAGCTCAAACTTGTACAAGTTTAATCAATACCTTTTATCATAAATTATTGCTGATTAGAGATTATTTGTGATACACAACTTCCTTGAGAACTTGGCCAAAATAAGCTACAACAAGTTTTATTCTTTAGTTTTGATAACTGTTCATATTGGAATTAATTATTCATCTTTCAGATATATCATTCTTTTTTAAAAAAAAGTCTCTTAAAAGGTATTATTGATTGACTGAAATGTGTAAAGTATAAATAAATATTAAAAACATTTTTTTTCAAGTGAGCTTTGATCAGCAAGTCTACTCATGTTTTATGGTGATAAATCATTGCTAGTTCAACAGAACAAATATTGACCAAATTGAGAGCAAAACTGAAGAAATAAAGCACTAAAGTGGATCTCTTATGTCCACTTTCTCTCAAACTTGAGTCTCAGATAGCACAGTTTAGTAAAAATTCTTGAATTTTTTTTCAATTGTGCTTCGATTGAGCAAAGTGATTCCATGAGATGTCTTACCTCGAACAAATCTCATATACTATTTCCCTCCTCATGAAAGTCTAAGAATTATTTGCTTTTTTTAAAATCATTGCTCTCAAAAGACTTTCAATGAAGGAACAATAGTTTATAATTTAATTCTTTGCAAAAAATGATTCAAAAAAGAATATAAATGATTTCATTATAATTAAATATACTTAACATCATCATGATATTCTATCTTCTCATCTTATCATATTTGTTATCAAACAGCCAAGTATTTCTATTTCTTTGAAGATATCTCATCTTGATATCTTCATTTATATCATCATATCATGAATTCAATATGTGACTTCTTCCTAAAATATACGAGACAGCATACAAGATATTTATGCCAAGATTTTCTAGATGTATACAAAATAGATACTTTTGTCAAGTTCAAAGAAAGTCAATTTCATTTTCCTCATGTTATTCCTTTCACTTATATTTCCATCATCCTTTTATACACCCGTTTATCTTATTTTCTTTTAATTTATATTTCTGTCATATTTCATTTAAATTTATCAGCATTTTAGTCATCGTTTTTTCTTCTCTATGTAAATAATTCTGGTGGACATACAAAATTACACTTTCTTACGCTAGTGTAAATGTGCCTCTTGAGTTTGTTTGAATATGTTTTATTACAACAAACCATTAAATTTCAATCTCTGTTATAGACATTCTAAAGTTTATGTCAAATAGTAGATATTGCAGTTTCAACTTGTTAAATGTTGTTCGCTTGTCTCTCTGTGGTGAATGATATCTAAAGTGGATCTGTTTGTTGCTGTTTCCGTTATTTT